CATACATACATACATGCATGCATCCGTAAATAGAAGCATTTTGTATGCAACCTGTAGACACCCACACTCTTGTCTATGCACATATATATATATATACATAAAGAAAATACATGTAAATATACATATGAGTACACATACGTATGTGCATGTGCCAAGTTGCATGTCTACATGACCGTTTTTGACGAGTCACCTGAATACGACGGGTTCTGCAACACTCCTATCGACCCAGGTCCTTGATCTCTGCCATGCTTCACTAAAATGAAAAGGAACGCCTAGTGCTATCATCCTGTGCACGATATCGGACAAGACATTGCATACGCCGACCAATATGCGCTTTATTATATGTTTACTCGCAGATTACTTCTGCATGTATAAACAGGTACTACTTCGCCAAAGGAAATTGCATTAGAACGCATGCCGCTTTCCAAAGTCTATTTACATGCGAGTCCCAGCAGACCAAAAAGACAAGCCCCCCGTGCCCTCAACCTGTTAGCCAACACTTGCTGTACTGCCAGTGTCCTACCGCTACCAAATGCACCAACTGGGGTCCTCCGCCGCAACCTTGGTTGCAGCCATGCCGGCACTCGCTTGACAGCGCCGCAGCAGAGCAGGCACAAGGAATGCTCGTGCTGAAGTTTGGATTGCAGGGTGCGAGTTCAGGTCAGGGCTTGTTGTGTGTGTGATGTGTAGGATTTAAAGGCCCTGGGCGAGAGGGCTTACTGTCATCAGCATGATTGGTTTGGCTTCAAGGGCGTGGGAAGACATCCCCGTCCAGTGGGCGACTTCCATCTGTCAGGTTTCAGAAAAGCTCTCGACGGTGAACTGTCGCAACCACTAGCTCACGAGCTGCATCTGGTTACGACATAACATGCCTGACAAAGGTTCTATTTTCTGCAGTCGTTCGTGTTGGCGAAGCCGAGCGGTCGTGTTTCAGTGTAGTTTAATCATCTGCAGTATGCGGTCCAAAGCCTGTCAGCGTTGCTCGATAATTGCGACCTCCATATGCAGTATGATGCTCGAGGCTGGACAGCAAACCGCGTGCGGTTCTTCGCTGCCTATCTAGAGGCAAACTGCGTCGAAAGGCATGGCAAGGTCTACACTGATGTTCCGGTGGCAGCCACGTGTCAGACAACAACAAAACAAGCCAGCAAAAAGGGCGGGGCAAAAGACTATGAGCACGTCTCACGTCAAGGACCCCCCCCCCCGACTCAGTGTTAGTTGAACTGCTACTTGCGAACTCAGTCCTTTTGCTGCAGAACTTCAGGACTCGGAGCTTCTAGTGGCACTTCACGCAGCTGCTCTTGCACGACACCTTGGCAGTCGTTCTTTCACTTCTGCTAACTGTTGAGCGCGCATAGTCACTTCAGGGATGCCATGCCCAGAAACGCGTGTGCAGTGAATGTAGAAATGCAAAGATTTGTCAAGTGGGCGGTATCTGGGTCACCCGCTTTGTCAGCCACCCGGCTACCTACTTAACCAGCCTTGCATACAGCAGGGTCATGCCCTAAACCCTAAACCCTACACCCTATAAACCCTAAGCCCTACACCCTAAACCCTATAAGCCCTAAACCCTAAAAGGGTTATGCCAACAGGGGGCAGTCGAGTGAGGGATCTCCTCAGGAGCTGAAGCTCGAACCGCCACCTTCAAGCGGGTCGCCCCAGGTGACGACCTTCCGAAGGCGAAGGCTTGGCAGCAAGTTGAACATAGAAATGCCTTCGTTTGCTGGGATTGCTTAAAAGAGGCCACTTCAAAAAGAATAGCTTTGGAGTCTGGAGAAGCTGGCCCCTCATCCAGAAACAGCCGGCAGCAGTAGTCGGGGTGTCGAGCATATAATCTGCCTACGATTGTTCCGGAACTTCATGCCATTACTCTCTCCATACCTCATGACAGCTCAACCGCAGTTTCGGCAGTACCTTCTTAATGAGACGTGCAAGTCCGAGGCCCAACCTTAACCTAGCAGCAAGCTAGTGTTTTGTAGTGTCCCTACTAATACTTGGGTCTATCATAAGAACCTACGAACAAGTAAAGTATGGTAGTTCGAGGCAACGCCGTAAGAGCCCCACCTTTCCGTCCCCACAAATGGCGGCGAAGGCGCCATAAGTCGCCTCAGAGAGCAGTTTGGGCTACCTTGAGGTGTTTGACAACCTAATATGCTGATATTCTCATTATCATTACTATGTTGCTTTGGTAACTAATAGCAATAATGATAGCCATCATCATCACGAACAAATCCATAAATACTACATTGGCATGTGCAAAGGGACTTCGTGCCCATACAACAAAAAACCTACCTCAAACTAATATGTACTGGAACAAGCAGGCAGGCAAGGACTCAGTAAGCTACAGTATCCCAAGAGTTCCCACTACCATTACTAATGCAGCAATAGTAACAATAATCATACCTGAAATGAATGAGTTAATACAAGAATACATAGATGAATGGACAAGTAAATAAATACATAGCAATAAAGCGGGCAAGTGAACAAAACACAACTGCATCAGAACTACCGAGTCGAGCCTCTAGATAACATCCTACTACACTCCCTTCAACAACCTGAGGAGTTCTCTAAATGAGAGTCCCTTTATTATGTTCGAGGGCCCTTCTTTTTAAAGGTGCCGTATTTTGGGGGGGGGATCTCAGAAGGGACCCTAATTCAGAGGCTTTGGTTGTGGCCTGCTCACAGCGCGTGTGCTGCCAGTAGGAAAGAAACAAAACCACCTGTTTCATAGTGAAGCTCTAAACCCTATAACTACCGATACTCTCCATTGTGGTTCAGTTGTTGGTTAATTACCTTATATAGGATCCTAGATACACTACAACGGATAACTATAGGTAAACCTTAGAGTGTCTCCAAAGCTGCGCGGAGCTCCCGCACGTCGGTGAGATTGGAGCAGTCCTAAAAGGCTTTCGAATCGCGAGGCTCTCTGACAGTTCTCTGAATTATATATATAAATATACATATATATATGTATATATATATGTATATATATATATTATATATATAACATATATATATGTATACATCCATATATATATATATATGTATACATATATATATATATATGTATGTATGTATGTATGTATGCATGTATGCATGTATACATGTGTATAATATATATATATATGTAATATATATATATATATACACACATAGATATATAGATACACACAGACTTTCTACATAAATGAATGTGATAAAAAAGGATATAACTCTAAGATAAATATAAATATATGCTTTTACGTACATACAGACATACATACATACGTACATACATACATACATACATACATACATACACGCACACAAACGCACACCACGAAACAGGCAGCAATCCAGCGAGTTGTACTGACAGGCACCCCAATTGTTGAAACTATGCTGGGAGGTGGTTAAACCCATGTTTTTCATGGGGACCAAGGACCGCGGCTTGCATCTGTCTGAACCCGTGCGTCCGCCAACATCTTCATGCCAACGTGCACCATCCCTGCCCTGAAACCACCACCAGCTAGCCTATAACAACGAAAACCTAGGATAGTAGTAATAGAGGAACTTCTGACTCCCAACCCCAATTCTAACCCAAGCCCAGCAGCTTCCTCACCTCCATAATCTGGGTGGCCCCAAACCACCTGGGTCACTGACTCGTCTCGGTTCAAGAATCTTGCGTCTCAGAGCTTCAGATTCAAGGATACTTTGGCTAAATCTTGGGTGTGGATGCGCTTTATGGCCTCGTGATCAGCTCCAAGTGCAAATCCTAGGCCTCAATCCTCACACCCCATCGCCCTAAACCATGAGGCTCTGAACCAACATATTCCGACCCTTACTGCCCCAAGTCTCGAAAACCCTAAACCCCTCACTTGGTTCTTTCGGGGTGTGCCCGAGGCGCCACGCGGCCATCGCTGCGAAGCGCTGCGAAGGCTCCGCCGTTTCCGCAGAGCTGGACGACCTCCTGGAGATCCTGTGGAGATGAGACGATTTTCACGCATGTGCATGTATGCGTATGTATATCTATATATATATATACATACATACATGCACCAGAAAAGATCGATTTTGTTCGTTGTATATAGATGTATGTATGTATGTATGTATGTATGTATGCATGGATGTATGTATGTATGTATGTATGTATGTAGGTATGTAGGTATGTAGGTATGTAGGTATGTAGGTATGTACGTTTGTCTGTATACATAAACAAGGAAACATGTGTGGGTCTGTTTACTTACACCCAAGCACTGCATCGGCAGAACGTCTTTAAGACCCAGACTTCCAGGGAAACTCCTTTCAGACTATACAGCTCATCCTCGATCTTCTTGAGGTCCAAAGCACCACCATATCCTTGGCACTCAGCAGAAGATTCTCTGCGAAAGTGCCCCCAGGTACACCATGTTTAGGGTGAGGGCCATGGGGAGTTTGAGTTGAACTGACTGGCTAAGGCATGTGATGTAGCAACCTGGTTATCTAGACCAGGTTTTAAAGGGGCTACGTCATCAATACTTGGCGGAGCCCCAAAGAAACAATCTCACCGAATTTTCAGGCCCCTTGCGTTAGACGAATGGCATATGAAGCTCAGGTTCACAGTAAGCATGCAGCACATTCCATGGTCTGGCTCACGCTGAGGCCTAAACTAAACCCCGAAAGCCGTGAAACAGCCCCTCTCCAAAACTCTAAACTCCAAACCCTAAGCCCTAAATAAGCCTAAACCCTGACTCACCCCAAAACCCTAAATCCTACACCCTCTACATCTTCGCGGAGCCCTGTGGCCGAGTTTCGATGGTTTCCCCACGCCTCTACGCTGCCATCGATCCGAAGGGCTGCAAATGAAAAAGAAGTTGCAGCAATTGACCTTGGAGGGGTGTATTGGATTTGGGGATTCTGGGCTTCAGGGGTTTTGAGGTTCGGGGCCTTCGGGGTGTATAGGCTTAGGGCTTAGGATTTGGGGCTTAAGCTTGAGGGCGTTTAGGGTTGAGGGTTGGTGTTTCAGGATAGGATCAGGGTAATTACTTGGTTTGTTGGTGTGCGAGTTCTGGCTTCGATGCGTCTCCAGGCGAATCCCCAAAGCCCATGGGCCGGCTCTTCCTCGCAGCTTCAGAAAGCCTCCAAAAAACATCAGGGTCCCTGTTTCAGGGAACTGTTTATGAGGGTGCCTTACTATTATTTGGGCCCCAGAAAGGGGCCCTAACTTAGAGAACTACCCACATGATTTTTCAACACCCGCAACCAACTAAGACCTCGAGCGTGAAGTAGCCGAGCCCGGACACTGCACGAGCTCCGATATCCTTCTCTCAATCTATCATACTCCACGCTACTATACATACTATACTATACTTTGCTGTACTGTAATATACTATTCCGTACTGTACTATCACATAGTATACTCTACAAACATCAAGCAAATACCAGCCCTGAGCTGCCAAATCCAAACGTGGCTGGGTTTACTCCGAAATCGGTATCCCTGCAGCCCTCGACACATCGAAACAAGAACAGAGAGAGCGGCATAGATGGAAAAGGTATCAGTAACAGGAACGGCTGTCCCCACATATCACACATGATATGTGCAAAGGCAAAAAAAGGCGAAACATAAAGGTAACATAGGCAGTAGCTGCCACGCAAACGGCGAATCTGCGGACTACTTCTTGTTCGAGCACGAACTGTGTACGCATCGGCGCAACAATGTAACGACCTGGTACTTGGACAACTTTCAAGGAGAACAACCACACCAATAAATACATACGGTGTGGTAGGTAGGCTCTAATGCATCCGTTTCAGTCGACTCGGCAAAGCAATGCTAAACGCTGCAACATCAACCGAAGCTCTTGAACAATTAAACAGTCGACAACCAGCGTGCAACACTGCAACAACGTACCTGATAACACAATTCTTTGGATATATCGGCGACAGAAGATCGAGACCAAGCCGACAACAAAAAAAAAAAACATTCATTCCAACACACAAGCTACTGCTTGGCAGCAGCGCAGCAAAGTGCTAGATTCGGAGATTGATATACCGTAAAACTGTACAATATAATATGCTGTAGTACAAGAATGTAGAACAGAATAGAACAGATTATTTACACAGAACAGAAAAGATTCTGAACAAATCAAACACATTACCGTAATGCTGACAATATACCGTATCGAACAGCTTACAGCTGCAGAGTTGAGCCATCAAATAGTCAGTCGGTCACGCACATAGACCAGTGCAACTACGAGTATAACGACGGCCGCATGCATCAGACACTGCAATTATGCATGATAAGGCTCGCGCAAGAACTAGCCTGCTGCAGTTCGAAAAGCGAAATAATGCTTAATGAAGCGACGCAGTGATTTGCACGTTCTCTCACGTGGTCAGAGACCGGGCAGTCCACAACAAGAACACTAACACACCACCAAGCTGTCATATGTAGTTTGTGGATGGCAAGGGTCCCACATTAGCCATGAAGCCTAAACCCTATAGCAGCTCTCATAGTACAGGACCAACAGCCGGCGAGACGCTGCACCCGATGTTGCTCGCAGCCTGAACTGGGTTTCGATCAATTGGACCAGGGATTTGGATATTGTGGTATAAGTCTCTCTCTCTCTCTCTCTGCGTATACATCACTCTCTCTCTCTCTCTCTCTCTCTCTCTCGATATATATATATATATAAACATAAACATATAGATAGATAGACAGATAGATAGATAGACAGATAGATAGAGAGATAGATAGATAGAGATATAGATATAAATATAAATATACACATACATCTAAATCTAAATATACATAGACATATAAATATACATCTTCATATACATATACATATAAATAAATAAATACATAAACACATAAATCAATGAATAAGCACATAAATAAATAAATAAATAAAAATAAATAAATAAATAAATATATATATATATATGCACACACACACACACACGCTCACTGTGAAAGACTATTCTTCCGAGCCCGTGGGGCTTCGAGATGTGGAGTTCGGGTCCTTGCTTTCGGGCGGCCTGGCGGCTTCGAAGAGCGCTGTTGGGCTTTGGGGATGAGTCTGACAATTCGGACTGCACGGGGTTCAGCTCCCTGCAAGACAAGGCACAAAACTGTAACCCTAAACCTCTATATAGAGAGGTTTAGGGTTTATAAACCCTATTAACCCTAAACCCTGAAAAATTAAACCCCTAAAGCCCTACACCCTAAACCCTCAAAACCCTAAAGCCCTATAAACCCTAAGGTGGTCGAAACGGCCCCGGCCTCCCTCGCAGGAGCCCCAGGTCACGACACTGCCATCCTGACCACGCGGAAGAGCCGAGGTCCCATGGATCGGTGTTCAGGGGTTTAGGGTTTAGGGTTTAGGGGGTCCTGTTCCGCCGGCTACTCCTCCTCCTCCTCCTCCTCCAACTGCAACTCCCACTTCTTCTTCTACTTTTACTTTTTCTTCTACTTCTTCTTCTTCTACGACGACTACTACTACTACTACTCCTCCTCCTGCTGCTGCTGCTGCTGTTACTACTACTACTACTACTACTACTACTACTACTGCGACGCCGACGACTACCACTACTACTGACGACAACGACGACCACCACGACGACGACGACGATGACTACTACTAATTATTAACGACGACGACGACGACAGCACCAGCACTGCCAGCAGGACTACGACCGCCACAACCACCACCATGACAACTGTTGCTATGGTACACATGTACTGTCACGATTCCCTTGCGTTGCCTCCCGGTGGATTGCGGCAAACGCCTTTCCGGAGCCCTCGGCAGAGACCCAAACCGGGAAGGTCATACTATAAATCTGTCCAACATAGGAACGGGCGTGCTGACTGATAGTTCCAGAACGTTTTGTCTAACATAGGGACGGACCTCCCATAGTTGCCTTCTTAACACTCTGGAAGTACACCACAGCTGGTTTTTGAGGCTTGTACAATCCGGCGACCGATTCATTTGCAAACTGAGGCATATAGGTTTGCTGCATCCTAAAGGGGCTGTTTTGCAACGGCTTCAACCCGGCTTTGTATCTACCGAGCAGAACACGATTGGGGCTTGGAGTGGGGCTTAAACTTGTAGTACACCTTGCCTGAAGGCCAGTACTGGTAACAGATGCGACTACCGTCTCGCTTGTCCTCCGAGCTTGCATGGGTGAATCTTCTTCGGCGCTTCCGGACTGCCTCTACCGCGTGAAGTCTTGGCCGCAGCTATTGCCCAAGATCCTGAATCCTAACCTACGGCAACAGACGTGCAGATGTGGCAGAGCTCTGCTTTACTGTGTCTCTCATCTCATCAAAAGATGCTCCGTCGCCCCTGCAGCTGTCCAAAGGGTCAGCTACAACCTTCAAATTATCATGCTCGCCGCTGGCTCACACCTCTCCGTCCTTAGGCTTAAACCTTAAAAAGCTCCCGAAGCCTGGCATACCGATTGGCCCAACGGCCGGACCCTTGAGAAACCGTAAAGCCTCAGCTGCGCCTGGATGTCGCAGAAACCGCCTCTGCGGAGAACTCCTTCAAAGGGCCCGGGATCACCGCCTGGGAAAAAGCGAGATCTCGAAGGCAAGGGCTGGCTCATTTTCTTGTCCAACTCTATGAAGGATTCTGAAGCTAAAGCTGTCGGTTGTTCGATTTCCAGTTTTAAGGGCTCGAGACGCAACCGTAAGCACTGCTTCTTCCGGTCCTCTATGAAGCCTACACCCCGAACTTCAAACCCCAGTTGCCATACGCAAAGCTACTACATGCTCGTCACTGCATGACCTTATCATAGCGCAGGGCTTTCGATCTTTGATCTGCGAACTCTGCTTTTGCCTGAAGTTGCTTCGCCCCAGGGGATGACAACGCCATCCGAACGAAGAGCAGCGAAGGCCGAACTCGTGGCCTTTGCAGGGATCGGCTTGGCAGCATTAAGGAGGGGTGGAGTTAGAGACAAAAATCTGATTCACGATTTAAGAGCTTAGAGATTCAGGGCATTTGGCATTTGCGACAGCGCAGCCACGCTTGGAACAAACGCAGAAGGTCATGCAAACTTTTTGACATGATGAAGACTGATTAAGCAAGGCTGCTGCTTTCAGCCGGGATTCTTGCGCAGGACCAGAAGAACAGCAAAAACGAACAAAGGTTGCATCAGATCTATCAGAGAAGGCCCCATATGCCTATACACCCACGTAAGGTTCTGAATACTCCTTGCCGGGTACGGCTCGTAAATCTGAAGCAGCCCCTCTGGCATGTATTTCTTTGAAGTGGCGTTAGAGCACCTTGTGCGCCACACGTACGACCCAAGCCTAACTAGCAGGCCTGGATACGAAGGAAGCTTAGCCAGCCATGTCAAAAAGTCTACAGCGCCATCAAACTTTTCTCCTGCCTGGGCACGGATAAAACTTGGGGGAACAATTCAGAGCGTACGGGCTGTGAGTCAATGTAGTACTGCGCCCTGAGGAAACGGGAGTTTCCGAAAATAGGGGACCCTAATATAGTATCCTTAATAGTAGGATCCTTATTATAAGGACCCCAAAATAAGGTACCCTAATTTTCGGAAAGTCCCATATAACACGAAACCTCGATCTGGCAAACGTCCACGAGATCCTCGGCTGCAGCACCTGCGGAGTGATTTGAAGACTTTCTCTCTCTCTCTCTCTCTCTCTCCCTCTGTCTCTGTGCCTATCTACCTCTCTATTTTCCTTCTGAGTGGCTAAACGCTGCTCACTATCTATCTATCTATCTATCTATCTATCTATATATATATAGTGGGCCAGGGGTTTCCCCCTAGCCATCTGTCCGTCTCTCTCTCTCTCTCTCTGTCTCTCTGTGTGTGTTTACAAGTCGGTATGTTATATATACGTATATACATATAAAAGCATATACCTGCGATACCTCCCATCCCCACGACCAACATTCGGCCATGCAATTGCTCATATGTGTGTGTGTGTGCGCGTGCGTGTTCCTGTGTTGTTGAAGTGGGTCGGAGGCCGAAATCCCTGTAAGTGCCGCAAGATGAAGTAGCCGTTGTTGGTGTTTAGAGAGTATACGCGCCATACCACAAAACACAGGTTCCAGCTTCGCGGCAACATTTCTTGTCGCTCTATCTGCTATCATGTCATGTGCCGTGCGTAGGCAACATGTACCAGTGCAGTTCCTGCTATCTAATCTTCGAGTAGCATTTGCAATCCATGTGTCATGGTCTGTATGATTGAATACGCAGTTCATGTTGGTTTAGTGTTCGCTGAACTTTCACATACTTATGTGACACATGCATGGACCTATGAGTTACCAATACCTGCTGTTTAATTTTCAGTCAGTAAATACGATAATTACATGTTTATTGCTTCCGGAGTGAATATGAAGCTGGTATCGGATAAGTATTTGCTGAACATTCCGGGTCGTTTCGCCTCACATATAATTCTGCCCAACTAACAAACCAGAACATATTCATAAACATGGCCCCCCCTCACACTAGCTGTCTTGGAACAGCTATAGGCAGAAGTTACGTTCTAATTCGCTCTTGGACAGTAGTCGAACTACACAAATGGTTAGCAATGAGCTATATTGCTTCGAGATCGAACATGTATGAGCAACCGTTCATCGTCAGATAGATCTGAAGCTTATAATTCATGATGAAATGTTGATTAAGTTGTGCTTTAACATCACATGCTAGATGAGCTTAAGCTCGCAGACGTCTCTGTTTTGGAATACATAGCTACATGTCAAGACTGAACAGCAAGTATTGCACGAGTATGTATGTAAGGCTTAACTATGAAGCAATCTGTGTTTCACATGCACTACCCTAAGGGTCCATGTACCCAAATAGTATATACGTTGGCCTTAAAGTAGTCCCTATAGAGGTACTTTGGGGCCAAAGTATATGCTATTTGGGTACATGGACCCTTTGGGCTAAACATATCATATCCCAAGCCCAAGGGTAAATTTTCAGTAAACACCAAACTGTCATAACAGACAAGCAGATAATAAAACCCGAGATGTCGGATAAGCTGCCTGTGAACATCAACGGCTAAACACTTATATATTAGGCGAAGACTGATGTACTTCTGTTTTCCTTTTATTAAGCCAGCAATTAGACATGTTTGAACTTGTATATTTCAATACTTAGGTATCTAATGTATATTAGAGCATGTATCACTGCATCAGGTAATAACCTGTGCTACAAGTATAGAGAACGAGCTACATGGTTCTTATACATATCAACAGCTAATCAAATCTTTATCAATGTAAGACTTCAATCGCGTTAATTACATATTATACAATGTCGGTGACAGCAGCTGGACACGGCTTAAGCATGGTACGAGTATTCAGAGTTCAAACGGCATGAAACTCGCAAACAGTCCAATTTTACTAAACAAAAAATACCGCAACACAAAAAATACAGGCGTCCGACAATGATCCCTGGGTACGCGAGCGAGAGGGAAGGTATGTTTTGGAAATGCAGAGAAGTCCAAAATTCGAAAACCCCAAGCTTAGGGATTCCGGATTTGCAAAAGCTCCAAAACTTCTCTTCATACGTTTTGGACGTTTGGAGCTGTTGTAACTTTTGGAAAGTTTTGGAGTTCTGGGAATTTTCCGAATCCATGAAATTTCATGTGAGGGGTTGGTCTGGGCGGAGAAGGGGGGCATATACATACATACATACATAC